CAATCGAAACATCATTGTGGCAACACAAACTCAATCGAAAAAACAAAAAAAACAAAATAAAAGTAACAAAATGAGAATAAAAAATAAAATTTGAATAAACAAATTAATTTCGAAAACATCGGAGCTTCGGATAACTACAGTAACCTACGTAAGATCACGTATATCAGTTATCATTGGGGCGCAGATTAAGGAAACAGGAAAGACCAAATGATCGACCTCACCTAACTGAGATTTTCTATTGAATTCTGAGAAAAAGTTGTTGCAGAATAGGCTACGAAGTATTCTGAATACATTTAGATAACCCAATCAACCTCTTTAAGTTTTCATAGGAACTATATTCTCTGATTAAGAAGTTGCAATCTGTAGCAAATTACAGCCGCTCACTACAACAAGAAATAAAGAATGAAAACGAACACAGATAGATTGAGTATAACCACAAAGATCAACCGTTCAGGTTTTCGTGTTTCTGTTCGAGTGTATATCTTATTCCACAGCTGTAATGAGCCTAATGAAGTCTTCAAACAGAACTGAAAAATTGATTAATCTTCAAAGAAACAAACCGTAACAATTATGATTAGGGCTTCTGAGAATATGTTGGAAAATGGAAACTTTTGAACAAATTGACTAAGTTCCACGTTCTTTCTTGTGTTTGAGTGCTCATATCAAACTGTGAATAGTGCTGTAGTTACTAAGAGATTCTCGTTCGGAAGAAAAAACCGTCTCGCAAAATGCGTCACTGAGCTTCGAGCAGCGTTCACATAATGGCTTCGTCTGTGTTGACAGTTAGAGGCATAACGAAAGATATCATTCATGAATGAAGAGGAACGAACTCATCTTTTCGGGTGATTCAAGTACAATATTCTATTAATTTATCGGAAATTTCGTGGTATATACAGAAAAAACATTCAATAAAGCATGCTTTGCATTCAGGTGATGGAAATGTTCTTTTCGAGTTATATGAGTTCTATCTATGATACAATTGGTATTATTAATAAGATGAATGAAACGTAAGAGCGAGAACACGTTTTCGACAGTTACTACTAGCGAAGGGGGTAAGTAACTCTACTTATAAATATGGAATTCAAACGTATATCCTATACTACATGATAGCAATACTAAGGCGCTAAAACAAACGAATGAGTGGAAGACAATAAATTTGTAAAAGTAATAAACATGTCCTCTAAGGTTAGACCTCTCTAAAGAGAATGACGGTTGTGACGGTTCAGTATGGACATAAATTATGTAAAAAAGATAAGTGATTTGCCTATCTAGCTCTGTACAAACGGGTGGAATCTGAGATAACGGAATGTCCCTTCAATGGCTCAGACAACGAAGGAGCTCATAGTTCTCTTCTGTAATACATTCGATATATTTTTCGAGAAGTTTCAATTGTTCAATCATCAATTTGCGTTTTGTTTCATTCATGTCTGTTGTCGAAAGACTTTTCTCAATCTGGGTGATTGTGAGATCTACTACGCTCTTCTTGGTTTTCAAGTTATCTCTGAATAGTTATCATAATGAAACAATGAAGGTAAAAATCTTACAAGCAGATCGAAGGCGAGAAGGCTGAAGAATCTATAAGATACATAAGGAGCTATTACAGAAACAGAAGTGAAATACCTGACATGGAATCTTCGATAGGCAAAGAAGGATTTTGGGATGTTTGATTGCTTCTCTCCGCACTCCCTGTATCATTCAGTAATACGGAGACATCGGTAACATATAAATCCTCATTCTCTTCCTCCTAAAGTAAGTATAAAGATGGCATATGCTACACCGGGCCCTTACATTCCCAGCTTTTTTCATAGTTAGACTAGCGAAGGCATCGTCGTGTGCTGATCTATCCTGGAAATCTCAACTATAGTCGAATATTAATCTCGAGAATGACTTCGTGAAATAATTCATCATGTTCGTTCAATATGATTTCTTGAGTTTGAAGTTTCGGGACAGATGAGCCAAACACCTACAGAATCCATTGATCATTAACTTTGTTTGAAAACTCACTTCATAGGGAAATTGAGAGAGCATCTCCATAGAAGATGTATCTAAGAAATCTTTAACGTCTTGATTGGAATCAATGAGCCAAGTGGATGGATCCACATACATTTGGTCGGAAGAAGTTTGAATATGCCTAGCCAAAAATTTCCTTGAAATCGGTTCCTGTAATAATCCAATGAAATGAAAAGTTATTAAAACTTACATTCACAGATGAGATCACAACATGAAGTTTCTCTGACCAGCGTTGGGCATCTCGCTCTTGTTCGAAGTGCAACTTGGAGAACTGGTAAAGAATGTGCTTTGAGCAAATAGGGCACATGAACAGGGCAGCAACAGCATGGGCAATCATCATATTCCAGTCATCTTCTCCAAACTTGCAAACTATGTTCAATACTTGATGGGAGTTTTCGGTGCTAAAAAACATACTGGTAAGAGTTAAGTCTGTGGACTTACTGGTATTCCTTAGCTACTTGAGCAGCCAGTTCAGAGCAATAAACGGAGGAACTGGTAGAGTTTTGAAGGAGAACCTGACCATTTGAAATTCCCTGAAAAACTTGAAACCTTCCAAAGTTCATAGCCAGAACTACTAACAGTTATTACGGAATTATTGCCTGTACTGAATCGACTTTTCATTTCTTTCATGATTGGAAACTCATAGAGTGGCTTGTAGGCTGGGGCATTCAACACAATTCGAGGATCAAAGCAAGGAATCTTCGATAGAGTGAAGAATTCCAATGTGGGAACTATTTGCATTCCGTTGAAGATCTGAAAAATAACAGAAGTTTAACTGTAGGAGCTCAACCAATAACCTGTTGAGTGACATTCTTCGTTCGAATAGAATTTACCTCAGAGGCTATGACGTATATTTCGTATAGCCTCTGTATGAACTTCTCATTATTTCTTACAAGAATACTTCTTGGGGAACTCTAAAATTAGGACATGTGATAGGTTGTGATAACTCCTTACCGTTGGCTTCTTCTTCTCACTCAACCTATCAAATATATTCTTCATTCCTTTTGATCCTATGGATGGTTCCCAAGATTTTGCTGTTATTTCAATCATTATGTCGTTCTGTTCTTCTAAGAAATCTGGTGTCGTAAACTTTTTCGACTTATTTAGACATTCGTAGAGATCTACTGTATCAGTCGTTGTTCTGGAGGACTTCTCATTCCACTTATGATGAAAAGTCATTGTCTAAATGAAGAATAAGAAATAAACAAACGATTGATGAGAACTCTAAACAAGGATGATTATGAAATAGAACAACATATCGGTCAACAACACTGATACCGTATCTACCACTAATCGATAATTCTAATAAATTAGAATAAAGTCCAAAAATCATTTTCAAACTACTTGCAAGCACAAAACGGTCGTCTCATTCCATTATTCATCATATGATCATTATAATTTATTTATTTATAGTTAAGAACCTTTCGTGTTCAATTAACATTCGATCTTTCTCATCCGTCCATCATTTGGCATCCGAGTGTGTTTTCTGAGCATCAGTTTCGAGTTATCAGAGTATTGCCGTAACAGAATAGCTGGTAACTTCAATGCTCATTCATCTCAGTTTTGTTTTCATTTCATGTTGTTCTCTTAGTAGTAGTTTAATCTTCTGTTTATAGCCATTAAAAGCCTGCACATAGCTGGCGTTATCATAACAATATTTCTCTTTCACAATGGCAACAAATCTTTCGAAACGTTCACAAATCTATAGACAATACAATAGAGAACAGAGATGCTTCTGCTTCTCTCAGATTTTAAAAATTATTTTCTTTCTTCTCATTTCTCTAATAGAATGGTGATGAGCAGCCAGTTATCATCAGACGAAAGATCTTCTAACTATTTTTGGATGCAAAGTTTAATCCGTCGGAAGAAACGATTTATCTCCAAATATGGCTCTCTCCATCTTTTCTCATTCTCGTTTCTCCCTCTGTGTTATCCATATATATGTAATTGAGCTAAGTTTTTTGGCGAAATCTTTTTCTTTTCATTGCAAACCATTAAATGAGGTTTCGTATACTCCGTCAGATACTCCCTTGCTTTGGCATAAAAAACATTTAAAGTTATTCATTCATTGTTTCCCATCTTCAGCACATACTTGGCTTCTTTCTAATTATTTCCTTTTATGGCAATCTAAATTGAGATCTCTGTGATTGTAGCAAAGAATTCACTTGTGGGGACTGAAGCTTCAGAAGATCACGCGGCGAACAGAATGTTTCGCTTCTCTCGACGAGGGTGAGTTTTAACAGTTGAATACTAAAACGAGAATTAATAAAAGAGAAGGCCTTTTCTGCTTGATGTGAAGTCTTCAAATGCCATTTAAGGCTTATTCTAATTAAATGTCATGTGTCAGTTAGGTGTTGATAAACAAAGAACACATGCAAAACTTTAATGACGTTCTGTGGTTATGAAACGTTTGTAACTTGATTATCATTCAATTCAAAATGGTATTATTCTATTCTGAAGCAATAGAGTGAAAGAGATTGAGATGGAGAAAGAGAGAGAGAGAGGAATTGGTAGTGGGATAATACACCAGAGAGAGAGAAAGGGATGGAGAGTGAAGAGAAGGGAAGAGGAAGAGGTTTGTTTTGAATCATCGCGGAAGCTACCGATATGGGAGCTGTTTCGAACAAAATTCAAAAAAAAAAAGAATTTTCATTAAGAAAATGACATTAAATGTGGAAAATGCAATGATTCCTAGCATTTAGCTCAGAAATATTAATCCATTCTAATATTCGTTGCGAATCGCAAATGATATTCGTGGTAGCGTCTGGTGGATGAGGAGAGAAGAGGGGTGTTGGTGTTTGAATTGAAAATATGAAAAGAATTCATCTTCTTATCAAAAACATTGAAAAAGCTGAATGTGGATATGAAAGGAGCTTTGACAGATCTTTCGAACAGAAGTCAGGTTCATAAGATGATGAGTATGATTTGTATTTTCGAAAAATATTTTCGACATTCAGCAACACATGAAATTTCAAATCAACTTCTATGAGGCTTGAAGACAAAAAACCGAAAGAACAACTTAGGCAGCTGCTCATTTCATTGGAAAAATCGAGAATTTTCTTTATTTCTTGCACGGGATAAGATAGCTCATCGATTATTTGATGGTTTTGTTTCTTTGAGAGTGTAGAGAGACAGATTCCTCTTTTCGTTCTCTTTCCAAAGGAATTCTGTGTATGAGGATGAGGCTGATGTTCTCATTCCAAGGAGGATTTTCCTCTCATTCAACCTCAAAGTAGTTTTCAATTCTTTCTTTTCGTTTTTTGGGATAACAAATAAAGAAATAGTTAGAGACGACTTCCTTCTATGCTCACTTACTCTCATCTCTTCTCGCGAAGTCGTCTCTCTCTCTATCTCTCCCTCTCTCTCGAATATTCTCTTGAAAGGAACTGTTCGAAGAGAAGAAGTTGATCATGTTGCTCATGAGATGTATATGATGATGTAATTATGTGTGTTTGTTTCCCACTATATCCATCCATAAGATTTGACATTTCGTTAAAAATTCTCGAGAGAATCATCCTTTTGACTTTTATGCAAATGAGTCTTTCACGTCATTTGCGTGAGTTATTCCTCATTTCCAAATACAACCATGTACATATCAATTGCTTTCACCACTAGAAGAGCTGGAAGAGAAAGAAAAAAACTTTTTTTTTCCTAAATTTCAATTAAAATTTTCATTTTGTTCTTGCCTCCCAAAAAAGGCGAACATGGAACATTTCATTTCATTATTTGCTTGTTGCATCTCTCATCTGTAGCACATATCATTTCGTGAGATTTCGAGTTCAAATTCTGATGAGAAGTCATGTTTCTTCCGTAAGCCATCTAACATCTATGAATTACATCAATGACGTCGTGGTTTCCTCTTACATATTCTATGGGAATCACTACTACTATTCTTGACGCAAGTTCTAATGTTCTTCCATCATTCCATCTATGTACATCTCTCTCTCTCTCATCTCTCTCTTCTCTCTCTTCCTCCCTCTCTTCTTATTTTCTTTTTTGTTGTTGCCTACCTTCACTAGGAAATGTTTGAAAAACCTTCTTCTGAGTGATCTTTTCTCTTCATAGTACATCGTGAGTGCCGGGATCGATGTCTGAAAAAACTTGCAAAAACAACCTTTCCTATGACTTTCATCAATTGAATGAGAAAATAAATTTGTCAGAAAAGTAACGAAAGTGTAATCTATATACATATATCTGTTTCTCTTTTTGACAAAACCAACTCTGAGTTAACAGTGAAGAAGAAGAAGAAGAAGATGAAGAAGATAGAAGAAGCACATGGTGTCATCTGTGTCAAAATCTTTGATGATGAGTCAGTTCTTTTCTGATCTGCTCTACCTTATCCGCCTACACAGCTCAAATATGTTAAGGAATTTACAACCCCCCGTTTTGATTTATCTTCTTCTACACTCTTTTGAATCCGTTGATGTGTCTCGTCTACCCAATATGGCTATGGATCAAAGACGATTCTGCTGCTACACAGCTCTGTTACACATCGCTCCAGATTATTTTAAATGAGTTATTAATACGTAGTAAACAAGAAGGAAAACAACAAAAAAGAAAGAAAGAAGGAAACCACGTTCCTCACATGATGAATGAGCCAATGGAGAAGGAGACAGCGTGAACAGAGTGTGAGCTACTATGAGCTAGATAAGCTCGCAACAACGTTTAATCTCTGAAGCAATAGAAAATCATATTTTAAAAGGAATTAGAGGGTGAGAAGATGTCTGGCTGGCTGTTTGATATGTTGTAAAACGAGGAATTGTTGACCATTTTGCTTATGTTCTTCTCTCTTTGTGATGTCTTTAACTGATTTCGCTCTGCTCTTCATTTCATTCATCCCTACTCTAAGATATGCGTACAAGGAAAACAAGTGAATATAGTGAGAAGTCATCTAATAGTGTACGCGATAGGGAATGGCATCAGAAGCTCACTAGGTCAGTTTTCTCTTCATTTTTTATATTCTCAACCATACAGCATATGTTATATCGAAATACTTGCCTACGCTAATGTGTAGTCTTGAGGACAGAAGGGAGTGAAGGCATAGAGCATGTGAGAAAGTGGAATATATTTTTCTTTCTTCGGAAAACCAAATGCCTTGATCTCTGACACTTCTTCCTCTCACTTCCTGTGCGATAGATGGTTCGGGAAACATTTGTGATCATAAGCTGAATGCTTCTCAACGAACATAAGGTTGAGTCATTTGACAGACGGTCATGCAGGCAATGTCTCATATGAGCATGGCGGAAGAATGTTTTAATTGGTCAAGTAGTGGACTATGGTTATTGAGATGCGTAAAAAGAATTGTCAAGAAGAATATGAACAGCTCATCTTTCGGATATACGCATTCATGGATAGGCTCAGCTTCATATCTAATTATAAAGAAGAGAGCATTTGACCATGAGAGGACAAGCATCATATTCATTTTCAATTCAATCATTATAATGTTATTCGTCATGAACTGCAATTCCTATATATAAAATGTATTTTATTACTTCATTTCAACCTTCTGTTCAAAATTTTGTTTTTCGATTCATGCTTTCGATCCATCTTCACACGTGGCACACGTGTCACGTATGCATTACGTGAATCGCACCCACTAAATATCATTTCAAACTCTATTAGCATGTTGACCGGTTGATCATCATCAATTTTCTTTGCCACTCATTTACTAGCATCTCTTAACGTCTCTCATCTTTCTCTCTCTCACATCTCATTTACCTCTCACTATCTCTTTCGTTCTCATTCTCATTTAAATTTTCTCTTTATGCTTCATTCTCTGTGGACCCCTTTTTCTTTGTGGAGATCTGATGAACATTTTGATACTGGACTAAACTAGCCATCAATACAATTCTTTTTGCATCTTCTCAATCTATTTTCCATCAAAAATGGGCGGGACTATGAGCTCTGCTACATGGCTTGAAGCATTATTTCCAGTCACCTCTATCTCCTTTTCTCGATCCGTCGGAGAACGCATTGCTTCACAAGGTTGAATTGTGTGATCCGCCTACTGGACCACAAACCTAAGTTACGAACTTTCGAAAAGTGGGGATAGAACACCCATTTCCGGAGTTATAACATTCTAGCAACGTCAATCGGTTTTGGAGTAAAGTATTCTGAATTCCAACAGAGCTACCCATGCTCAATGGTCTTATCAGGTGAGAAAATTGTCTTTGTTCATC